ATTAAACCTAAAGAAACTAATCTAAATACCAACTTTGATATCTTGTTATAAATATCCCATTTTAGAAACCACTAAGATAAGGTTATTATTAGCAGGTGCAGGTGATGAGAGAGGGTAAATAGAAGGAAAAAAAAAAAACATGTGAATATAGCTCTCCTTTTTCTGGCAAGGGAGCCCTACATTTTCTTTTTTTAGTTAAGGGTGCTTTCACTGATAACAGCAAGACCCAGTGGGGGGTTTGTTTTCCCAGCGCCAGCGTTGGCCTATGCTGTTGCCTCAGACATTGATTCCATGTGGCCAACAGAAGCGTGTCTTGAATTAAGGAGGATGGCTGTCACATGAGCTTTTCCCTCATTAATGACTGACCGGATGCAGCACAGAATGCAAGCTTTGAAGGACTGTTCACAGGCCCTGTAAATAGCAAGCAGGCACTTCAAATGTTCTGTCCCATCAATACTTTCAACAGTAGGCAAAGTACATCATGGGAATTCACAAAGGTGGTTTAAATGGGTGTTCTAAGTCAAAGTCCAACAAGTAAGGCTTAAAACCTTCTCAAAAAGTCAGAGAGAGGGGGTTTCAGCAATATGCAAAAGGATTAAATGAATGACACTAGTCAGATCTGGGAACATTGAATTCCATTCCCTGCGGTAATCAAGCATCAAGCATAAACTGACATGATGGTATTTCGCACATTTGACCACACCTGCACACTGGAGGGGGAGGGGGAGGAGGGGCGGAGGGACAACTTGATCTACTCTGGCCATTAGTACCTAGCCCAAGCTTTGGCTTCCTAGTCATACCTGTGTACCCAGGTGCATGCGTCTCTGTATAACCTTCCCCATGCCCAAACTACAATTTCAGCTTCTCCAGGGTATTTTGTTTGTTTTGTTTTTTCCTAAAATCTCTTAGGAAATCAATAGTGAGCAGACACTCAAAAAATATTTGGGGATAATGACAATATATTCAACTACTTATTAAATTTATTCATTAAGCAAATGAGTACCAGGTACCCACTAAGTTCAAGGCACAGAGTTAGGTGCTGTGCAAGATTTTTTAAAAAGGAATTTGTCCTGAGTCCTACCCTTAATCAGCTTATAGTTTTTAATAAGCCAGATTCTATTTGGTTTGCGTCAAGGAGAAACTCAGCTAAAGTTAAAGACATCTAGGAGGAGTCCCTTCTTTCCAGAATCATCTTCTTCTCGAGCACTCATTCTGAAGGTTCCAGTAACTCTGAATTATTACTTTTGCAGTTCTTTGGTTCTCAAACTCACGGGAGATGGGCAGAATGTGAGGACAGAACTAAACAGTAAAACAGACATGGCATTGTGGGGATTGTGGGGAATTAAGAAGGAAACCTATACCGGACATTTTAGAACAGAGTAGGTATCTACAAAAGATGTCTCTAAAAGTCTTGATTTATTTCTGACACTATCCCCTTCCACTCCAAGGCTCCCAGCTTTTGACCTCCTGAATATGTGTACTCATCACAGATATGACAAGCTTTAACTGAAGAGTAGTAATGGTTACCTTTCGTTGAGTCTTTACTGTGAACCAGGCATTATGCTATTTTGAATGCATATTCTCATTTCAACACTCATGAGCTAGGTTCTTTTAGTGCTTCTGTTTTACTGATAAGAAAATTGAGATGGGGCATTAACTTACTCAGTCACCCAGCTATTATTTAATCTGAACTCAGGTCTGTTTGACTTCAGAGGCAGAGTTTTTAACCACTATATTATACCAATTCTGAGTTTCAGAGATTCTGATATTTTATCTCTGGGCTTCAGATAATTCCTTCAAAATTCCCATCTAATGCTCTAATTGGACAAAGATTTGTTTTCTTTTACAGTTGAGTCTTAAGGGAGTACAAGAAAAGAAAGCAAAAATTCCACAGGAAAAACAGACTAGTTGGACAGGGAAGAAACAGCTGCATCCACTTTAGGTAAAGTTACATGGCCTACTTTACAGTTTTGGATGAAATAGCATGTTACCATTTGTCTATTCATTCTCCATGGTTTACTGGGGAAATACCATTCATTTCCCATTACCTTTTTCAAGAGCTGTGATAAAAAGAATATTATTCTTCCTTGCATACATATATGCTAGAAAACAAACAAATAAAAACCTAAACCTTTCAGAACTCATCTTCATAACCTGGAGTAATGAAAAAGAGGGAAGACTCTCTTGATCAACATAACACCAGAGAGTAGAAAAGTTATCTAATGCATGTAAATATCTAGATCTGAAATCTTCATTTATTGCCTTTAGGGATTATATGCCTTTAAGGAAGAGAGAAAATCATTTTTCCTTCAATAACTTCATCTGAGATTGACAAAAGGGACATAGAGGAAACTTGAGTAGGCTAATGTTTCTTCAGTTGGGGTTGTCTAAAATAAAGCTGCTTCTACTTCTTTTTCTTTGAAATAAATAGAAATTTGAAAGCTAGGAATTTATTACTTTATCTCCCCGATATTAATATTTTCTTCCTTAGAATTCACATGATCTCCCCAAAATGATACCTTGAATCCTTGACATAGCACCAAGTGATTTGGGGTTAAATGTGAATTTGGCTAGTATCTCCATGCCTTTGGCCGAAAAATCCAGGCTCAATCCTGGGTGCTTTTTGGAATGGGAAATACACAATATCTGGATTGCAGGCAGCTCCAGAAAGGCATGCCAGGCCTCTCATGCTCTCAATATATATTTGCATGTGAACAGCTTGTCGGCCATTTTATGAAGACAGATGAATCGCAGGCCTGCTAGAGGGGCAGCCAGACCTAAATACGTGAACCACACACCCCTACAGCCCACAAATTTTTAAAAATGAAAATAAAATGAATATCTCTGGATATATCTTTAGGCTGATTATATACAAATATAATACATGAAAAAATGAAACATTTAAGGCTATAAGTCACCCATAAGTCAAGTGGAAAATAAAGAATGAAACAAGTCTATAAATATCACTCTTTAAAATGTCAACAAAAAATAAGATGTAGCTGTTTATGACACTAAAAACAAATCTTCGGAGATCTCTCCCTCTCTCTCTCTCTCTTTTTTTTGCTGGCTGCTTTAAAAAGACAATTTTGATAAAGAAAATATCACCGAAATACCAGGATGAGGAGAGGAATGGCCAGCTGGTCCATAGTTACTGCTAGAGCCCAGCGATGTAATAAAGCAGTGGTCCCCAACCTTTTTGGCACCGGGGACTGGTTTTATGGAAGATAATTTTTTCATGGACCAGGGGTGCGGGGATGATGGTTTCAGGATGATCCAAGCGAGTTACATTTATTGTGCAGTCAAACCTCTCTGCTAATGATAATCTGTATTTGCAGCCACTCCCCAGCACTAGCATCACTGCCTCAGCTCCACCTCAGATCATCCTAGATCCCTCGCATGTGCAGTTTACAGTAGGGTTCGAGCTCCTATGGGAACCTCATGCTGCTGCTGATCTGACAGGAGGCAGAGCTCATGCAGTGATGTGAGCAATGGGGAATGGCTATAAATACAGATGAAGCTTCACTTACTTGCCTGCCACTCACCTCCTGCTGTGCGGCTGGGTTCCTAATAGGCCACAGACCAGTACCAGTCCTTGGCCCAGGGGTTGGGGATTGCAGTAATAAAGAGTTTCCTACGCTTAGGAAATGAAACAAACTCTGAAAACTTAGTGATAGGATGTCTAATGTGGTAAACTCAATTCTCCATCCCATGACACCAACATAATTCAGTTTATCTATCTTTTCAAAAAGACAAGGTGATCAAAATGGAAAAATATAAAAAAAAGTACAGAACAACGAAAGGAAGAGAGACCCAAGGAATGAGGTCATTCAAAGTAAGTGAAACAGTGTGGTAGGATTATATTGCCAAGAAAAATAATTAAGAGTAATATTGAACCACAGCCAACATTTTTTTTTAGTCTATACTCTATGAAAGATACTATAAGCACGTTATACCTATTACCTTATTTAATTCTTCAACAGGTAAGTAATATTACTACCCTATTTTAGAGAAATAAATAAATACCCTGAGACGTTAAATAGCCTATTCAATATTGCTGAAGTAAAAAATAGTAGAGGCAGAATTTGAATGCAGGTCTGACACCACAGCCCGAGCTTTTAACCACATTCCCCCCGACAGGCCCCTCGGAGTAAAGCATTCTCCTTACAGCCTTCAGGTCTAACACCAGGAAATACTTCAGAATTTTTTGAGATGACATCTGTGAAAGTACCTAACACGATATTTAGTATATTAAAGGTGCTGCCAACCCACTTCTCTATTTTTATTGAAACATGGTTTTACTCAATCTAAAAGTCTAACCCATGACAATCTTTTTCATACTTGCAGTGAATACCACACATTTACTATTTTACCAGATAATATTATGTTCATATATAATGTATGTGTTCTAGTTTGATTAAGTTTCGGCAAAAGAAAATTTATGTATCGATGCAATTGAGGAATTTAATACTGTATAATTTTAGACAATTTAAAGTGAAAACATCCTCAAAGGCAGAGATTTCTTAAAGCAATTATTAGCAAAGGGTTGAGCTCCCAAAAGGCCTCAAAAATACTTGTGAATGAATGATCTTAAATCACTAATGAAAAAAAATCATGGGACATTTGCCACTTTAAAAGGAACTAAAATGAAATGAAAAGGCCATGGTTCCTCACTTAATGTTGTAAAAGAATCTGATTTGTTAAGTCAGCCCCACATCTCATAGTTTAATTGGGTAATCAACTTTCTTGGGAATTAAGGTTCTCATGAGCACCCTGAGAGTGTGCAGGGGTCAAAGGGAGCGGAGTGTTGAAGCTGCTAGGATGATCCAGAGAACAAAGAATTTGCCCTGTTGAAAGAAACTGACTTGAGTTTCTCCTTGAATTTTCAAAGTTGTTCCTACTGTGGGACACCCATCGGGCAGACCCCAAAACCCTGGTACTTGGTTGGCTGCTGGCTGCTGTGGCCTCTGAATGCAGCAGCTAGAGTCCCAAGCTAAACTTACCATTTTCTGGCTGGTCCTTAATGTCAGCGTCACTTGGCTGGCTGGGACTTTCAGATTGACTTGAATCTGAAAAACATAAAAAATACAGCCAAACATTACAGGGTCTGTGAGGGAAAGTGGATCAGAGGTGCCAGACTTTCTCAAAAGGTTCAACCTATAAACTAAGAATGAGAATGTTACAGAAATGACATGATAAATGGAAAAAGAAAAGATGGAAAGAGAAAAGAAGGGGGGTGGGAGGGGGAACGCGGCAGTAGCCTGTGCCTTTAAAGAGGACGCTGGGTTTTGTTTACACCTCCAGTGGCGTTTGCTTTGTGCCAGATCAAAACTTGAAGCTCTTCAGAAACCACTCTCTTATAGAGAGACCATTTCCAAACAGCTCTTCTCCACTATTTATACACTGGAGTCTGATAAAGACTTCATCCTTCATTACACACATCTGAAGCTTGATTCAGAACATAATAAAGTGTCAAAACATATTTTGAAGCTGGTATATAAAAGCAACCCAAACAACAGTAACAAGTTCTGTTGATATTTAGCTCCGTATTCCAGCAACAGACTATGCGGACTAACACCATTAAATACTAGAGTCCTAATATTCTAGCACATTTTCTTGAAATAACTGGATAACTCAAAGAGGTCTTTCTGAAGGTGCGAGTTTCCTCCATTTTATAAGTATTATTTTTCTCTTATATTGGCGCATTTGGGAGGGGGCTTGTCAGCAAAAACAGGGTCTTGCATACCTTTATAAAATTAAACTTATTCTTATTTTAAAAAGCATAATCAAATTTTCAAACTAAAAAAAATGAATTCAATTAACTTAATTTCTAAGTGAAATAATTTAAAATAAAGTAACTTTTAATTTTACAATTAAATAAAATCAACTTAGATTAAAAGAATTTCACAGAATTAGAAGCAAATATTTATAATATATTTTGGGGGCAGAAAGGAGAAAAATCAGGCAAAATGTTTTAGGGGAATATTTGTGATGTAAAGCATTTTCTGAGACTTAGTTTACAAGATTATTTAAAAGCAAGCAAACAGAAAAATTTTTTTTAAAGAACCTCTATATCTGTGGAAAGCTCAGATCCTAACTTTACCTTGACTTCACAGGTTTAGAATTAGCTGTCTGAGGTGGTGGCTCACGCCTGTAATCCTAGCACTCCGGGAGGCCCAGGCCAGAAGATCCCTTGAGGCCAGGAGCTTGAGATCAGCCTGAGCAACAGTGAAACCCCATGTCAACAAAAAAATTAGCCAGGGTTGGTGGCACCAGCCTGTAGTCCCAGCTACCCGGGAGGCTGGAAGTGGAGGATTGCTTGAGCCCCGGAGTTTGAGGCTGCAGTGAGGATTGTACTTCAGCACAGGAGACTGGGACCCTGTCTCAAAAATAAATAAATAAATAAAATAAAGTAAAAAATAAAAAATAGAATTAGCTGTCTGAAATTTGACCATATTTCTGTAAAAAGTTCAATGCAAGGTCAAAAGGTCATGATACTTAACTGTGATTAAATTTAAAATATTAAATCTATTGCAATGGAGTTATAGCATCACATTCTCTTTCTTGGAGATATTGCAGAAAGAAGTAGCACTACTAGTGACCTTAGGTCTAGAAATGCTAATTTATTACTTAAAAAGACTGCCTGCTTTTAAGCAAATGAAGATTTTAATTACAGGAAAGTGCTATAAAGAAAATGTTTATTTTAAAATTTTCAAATAATCTTAACCTGGTGACTAGCAAAAATTCTATGTTGATTCCAAGGTTCGAATAACAAAAGATGCAAAAAGGTGAATTTTCATTTAAGTCTGGCAAAGTGACAGCTTTTATCGCTTTTTTAATAATTGCCATGGAGAAGACACAAATGAAAAGAATTATTATATGTTAAAAACCTTTAGAGAATTCTTCAGAATAAACTACAAAATTAAATACAAAGCCTGTACTAATAATTGAAAATGAAAACAGATTTATATTTGACCATATTTGAAATTTTAATTACATAAATTAATATTACATTTATAGCAAACAATTAAAAAATATAGCATAACTACCTTCTTTTTTTGAGTAAGGAAAGAACCTGTAATTTTGCCATTAGAAATTATAAATTAAATATTTTGAGAAGTAATTCAACATGTTTTAGGAGAAAGATATACCTCTATTATTTTTGTTATGAAAAATATTAAACCATTAATATCTACAACTAAAATGAAAGCTAAATATCTAATTTTGTCTCAGGGGAAGTTAAAATTGTTTTTGATCATGTCCTAAAACATATAGGTAAAATTTTGCCAAACATAACATTTCTTTTGAAATAATACAAACGTTAAGTCTCTACATGTTAGCTTAGCCGATGTTTTACTTCTAGGTGTAATATCTTTACAATTAACTACTTTCTCATGAATAAATGAAGATATTTTTATTTCGATTAATTTAGATATATAATAGCCACTTTTTAAATATTTATTCATTAATATTAAGATAAAGAGATAAGGAGAGACCCAAAAATATATTTTTTTATAATCTGAAAGTGGACTTTTTTGTTCTTTCCACTTTCCGTTTACATTTGATTTGTCACCCTACCTTTACAGAAATCTAACACAATTACGGAAAACATCAACAGCAATAAAAGATGAATATTAGGTATCTTCAAAGAAAATTTAAAATTCCAAGCCACAGAAAAAGAAGCAAACCAACAGCAAAGGACTGAGTAGCAAGAAAATGCTCAGAGTTGGTCTGCAAGGGGCCGTGGCGTTCTTGTGAAAGCTCAGATACAAACACTGGAGGAGGCATGTAGCCAAACTGAAAGCGGAATTTAATTTCTCTAGTTTTATTCAAAAGCTGCAGACAGTGCTATCCATCCGAGGACTGCGTACTAAAATACACCTGGTAAGGGATATGCAAAGTCAAAGATCTACAAGAAAATTTAAATGATCTAAAAACTTCAATAATTATTTTCTATCCTGGGCCATTTAATATCCCTTCGTTTTTGAGCCAAGAAGCAGCAAAACTGCCCAGTCCTAGTGCTATTCTATGCTAAAGACGCATGGACACTTTTACTAGTATTGCAAAAGGTTACCAATGCTGTTAAGTATAGAGCCAACCAGATAACCACAATTATAAATTAATTTCTCCCCTTACATAATTGATACAAATGAAAGATCTCTTTCTTAAACATTTGCATTAAAACACTATAAAGAAGGCTAACAATTAATTTACTTTTCTTCTTTATATACTTGGTAAAGAGCTGTCCGAAGCCAAGGTAACTTTATTTCTTACTTTTTTTGGCAATTATCACATGCTCTATTGATTCCTACCACCTGAAATAATTAGAGGGCTCAGAAAACAAACCCGACTGCATAGAATTGGATGCCCTTCTTGTATGTGAGCCCCCATGGCAGTGAGTTTCTCCGTTTCCCTGACTGAGAGTCGTAAGATTTGTATATTACAATGAAGAGAATATTACTTCAAGTGTGTTTAAAGGATGGGGTTGGAAATGCCATTGTGAAGAAGTATATTAGGGTTATCATTTTTTTTCCCATATAGGGATTTGCTTTTCGTTTAAGGAAGCTTAGACTTCAACCTAACGTTGAAAAGTAATGTTTCTTTTGGTTTTTAAAAAATTTATGAGCAGAAATTTAAACCTAAAACAAGGTTTGCATATAGGAGGCTGGGTTAAGACCTCTTAATTGAACTGGTAGCCATCCATCTATGCATTTTTATGGCGCCTACAGCTATATTGCTGGAGTACTCAGACAAAGACAGTTCACTATCAATATAATCACTAGGGAAAGGAATAAAATAAATCTTAATGCCTACATATTAGTCTCTGCTTCCATAAGCTTGTACAATACAAGAACAGAAACCTTGTACTGGATTTGCTACATATACCTATATCCAGTTCCCCCGACCTCCATTCTGCTCCCCTTCAGAATAAAAGCTCAGAGAGCACTCCTTCGGGAAAGGCAAGCAATGACAAAAACACATTAATATGGCAAAACTGATCAGACAAAAAATGTCTCTAACACCTCCACATATTCTATGTTCTTTACATAAGAAGCAAAGATGGAATAATCTTCCTTGTCCTTGACCTAGAATTAAACACTTTCACCTCTCCAGTCTGTCTTTCATTGCACATACACCTCTTACGGTGTGATTAATATTACGCCGCACCAAGGTGATTTTAAATTATCTCATATGAGGATTTGAGCTCCTAAAGAAAAGAGTTCTTTTCCACTCTTCTCTTATCCCCAGTTCTTTGCTCAGGGAACCTGGCCTAGCCAAGGAGTTCAGTACCTGCTGAACTGCAGAGTTGAATTTTCAATTGTCATTTGTCTTCCTACCACGGAACCACTGTCAGTGACCGCACAATATACTAAGCTCACACCTAAAAAGGGAGTGGGATTTCTAAGCTGAGAAAGGGGAGCAGAAAGGTCCTTTATCTCTGCTCCATATCCCCCGTCTTGGGGCCTGGCAAGGGAAAACCAGGCACACCCCTCTGGCTTGTGGGTGATTTGGAAATCTTCACAGTGTTTAGAAGTTGCAAACAATCACCTCCTACGATTCACTGGCCCACATGCCACCGAGACTGAGCTAAGGACCGTGCCCGACAACTAGGAGGCCCTCCAGAAACATATACCAGCTAAAATGATGAATGGCAGAGGAATATTTCACACATTCAAAAAATGCAAAGATTAGAGAAATCTACCATATTCTGATGTCCTCAGACTGCCTGGAACTCCTAACAACTGCTGTTGTGAATAGCTTCATAAAGAAAAAGCAGACACCATGCGGTAGTGAAGAACCTTTCCCACCCTAAAACAAACCAATGTAATTCCTATTCAGTCAACATATCAACAAAAGTCCGTGGACCATAAAAGTACAAATTCTGGTCCCACTAGAAAAATAATTTAGCCTAAATTTCAACCTCCCTACATGCACAATGATTTGCCTAAAGATGAAGTTTGAAAAGCCTTTGTTAGAATTTTGTGTCCAGTTTTAATTCTCCCAAATTAAAAGACAATATGAAGAAACCCGAAGGCATCCAAAACCAAAAATAAATGTTAGTCAAGTG